CCTTAAAAGTCTAGCTTCGGCCCAAAACATTTTTGCCTTTTCTGAGCTATGATCAAAGAGTTTCACTCTTGTAACTTCTGATAAAAAATTTACGTGACATCTTTATGCTGAAGGAACAGCTAAGGACAGAACTTGGTTGATTTACAATCTTGGATGTGGGCAGGGGATCCTTACCTATGACACTCCAACAGAGTGAAAAAACAAAAGAAAATACATGTCAACGGGACTTTAGCAAAATTAAAGACTTGTGTGTGTCAAAGAATAGCACTAAGAGAATGAAAAGACACTCTCAGAATGAGAGAAAAATGTGCAGATCCTATATCTGATGAGCACCCCAGTTTCCGAAACACACAAAGGGTGCAGCGTCCTAAAAAAAACAAGTAACCCTTATTTCACTTACAAAGTGAAACATGACTTATAAGTGAAATATGTTTGTAATTTCCCCTTTATAATAATATATTTTCTGCAGTTTTAATATCAGGTGGGTCCAGATCAAGCGCAATGATTTCAAAGTGTTTCTTCTTTTTCTATCTCTGTAAGATTTGGCATGATCTGTTTTTTGAAATTATCTTTTACTTTTATTTATAAATGTTTGTTGTCTATTTTTTGAGACTTGAAAAAAATAAGAAATTAATTGAAGAAAATAAGAAGTTAACTGATGACTCTATACTGAACCTCAGAGTCAAAGCATTCTATCATAGACATACTCTTATGTGAATTACTTTCTTTGCATTATTATTATTATTATTGCTTAATATTTCGATGCAGCAATCATCTGATTTTGTTTCTGAATGTATTTATCTTCATGCGTTGTTTTTAGGCCTTATCTTAGACATTGTTATTAAATTTTAAGCCTTTTTAATTTTGTGAAAGCAAAAAAGAAAACCTAATAATCACAGGTTTATGTAAAAAAAAAAATTAAAAAAAAAAAAGACAAGTAACCCTGGTGGTGCCTGTACCTCAGTGGGTAGGGCCATTAGCCACATACACTGAGGCTGGTAAGTTCAAACCCAGCTAGACAACTGCACCAAAAAATAGCCAGGCATTGTGGTGGGCACCTGTAGTCCCAGCTACTCAGGAGACTGAGGCAAGAGAATTGCTAAGCCCACGAGTCTGAGGTTGCTGTGAGCTGTGACGCCACACACTCTACCCAGGGTGACAGAGTGAGACTCCGTCTCAAAAAAAAAAGATAAATAACCCGATTTAAACACGTGTTTTCAAACAACAGGCAGAAGGAAAATGCAGACATTTGTAGGAACATGGTTTTAAACACAGTTAAGTCATATGTCATTAATTCTTTGACTTGTGCTTACTCTCTGGAATAAGCACTGTTTATACTAAATGTAATTTTTTTTTTTAGAGACAGAGTCTCACTTTATTGCCCTCTGTAGAGTGCTGTAGCATCACAGCTCACAGCAACCTCCAACTCGTGGGCTTAGGTGATTCTCTTGCCTCAGCCTCCTGAGTAGCTGGGACCACAGGTGCCTACCACAACGCCTGGCTATTTTTTTGTTGCAGTTTCGCCAGGGCTGGGTTCAAACCCACCACCCTAGCTATATGGGGCCGGCGCCCTACTCACTGAGCCACAGGTGCTGCCCCCCTCCTTGTTTTCTTTATAGTACTTTGGATAATTTTGTGCCCATTTTAAAGCCCATTTTCAAGGCATATTGTTTATCTTTCTGGTGTTGAGTTTGGAGTCCTCGGCACGTTGGCACACGCAGGCCCACCACATCACCGTGTCTCCTGAGGCTCCTTCTGCCACAAATGCAGGGGTGGGCGCATTGCTTCACCACGTTCCCCCGCACTGTGTGTTTTCGGGTAGCCATGACTGCGAGGGCACATGAGCTAGCCGCGTGTTGACGATTCTCCCCACGTAAGTACCTGGTGTGTCTCTCTCCCCAGGCTCTGAGGATCCGGAAGACAGTGTCCTGTACATCTACATTCTGGTGGTTGTGGGGACTCTCGTCTGTGCTCTGGTCCTCACCTTCCTCTTTAAGAGGTAAACCCTGAAACACCTGGGTGTCAACCAGCTACACATCAGGTGGGGAGGAAGACGCTTCTTCCAAAGTTGGTGTGTTTCTCCCACTATGAGAAAGAGACACAAAGATGCCGGGCGTTCCCATCGCGGGGCTGGTGATTCAGAAAACTTGTCTGGGGCGGGGAAGGAAGGTGCACAGCTGGGAAACACACACACACACACACACATACACACACGGAGACGGGCATCGGCCGCTCTGAGCACAACAGTGCCAACCGTCATCCGTGTGATTTTAGCGCCAGAGTTTCAGGGAACTTCACAGATGCTTTCAAAGGAAGCATGAAAAGGCAGAATAGTGCATCACACACCCAGGAATGAACATCGCACAGCCTAGCATGCCAATCACGGGGAGATTGCAGCTGACAACGTCCCTAGAGGATGTGGGGGCTCTGTCAACGTCTACTCGGGGAACATCCCGATGTCTGGTGTCCTGTTCTCATTTTCTTCAGGACTGCCGTGTGTGACTGACCACATGGGAATGTATCCCACAAACTTGGGTACAATCCCACCCCACTCCTGAATGGGGCAGTGAGACAGGGTCCTGGATCCGGGAGCAGATGGGAGCAGGGATTGGGGACAGAGTGCACTCTTTACACAGAAAATCACCCTGAAGGAAAGCCCTGTGAGTTTTCTGGAAAGAAACGGCCATAAGCCGAGAGCTTAAAGCAATAGAGATTCACACTCCCCCAGCCCTGGAGCCCCGGAGCCCCCGGAGTCTGAGCTGCAGGCATCTCAGGGCTGCTCCCTCCACAGGCCCCAGGGGAGGCCCCTTCCTGCCTCTCCCAGCTCCTGGGGGCTCCAGGCTTCCCTGGGCTTGTGGCCACATCACTCCAGTCTCTGCCTCCATCTCCACGTGGCTTCTCCTCTGTGTCTGTGTCCCCTCTGCTGTCTCTCAGGAGGACACCTGTCACTGACTTTAGGGCCCTCCCTGATCCAACAAGGTCTCATCTTGAGATCCTTCACTAATAATGTCTGCAGAGACAGGATTTTCAGATCAGTCCCCACGCCCAGATACTGAGGCCTGAGACGTGGGCTGCTCTTTGGCAGACATGTCAGTGCTCGGGACAAACACCTGAGGCTGGTACTGTGGAACTGGAGGTGTTTTCCCACAAAAAGAAAGATGCTTAACATCCAGTTCAAGTGCAACTAGGCTGTGATACGTGGCAAAAAAAAATAACAGGGCTTAGATTGCAAGACGTCAACACAGGTAACAGAGAGAAAAGCTGTGAGCAGACACCAGCCTGTAGGAGGCTGTGTGGGCACCAGGCAGCGGGTCCAGCCTCTCAGCACCAAGGACCCACTTCCCCGAAGCTGCCTGTCCCCACCCAAGGGGATGTTCTAGAAAGCCTCGTCTATGGCAAACAGATTCCCCTCCCTCCTCAGGGCTCTGCCATCTCAGTCTGTCAGTGATGCTGTGCAAGGTCTTTGGGGAGAGCTGGACACAGATGCCGGGAATGCAGCGTCCCACAGCACCCATGAGGGTGCAGGAAGAAGTTGCCGCAGGTAGCGTTTTGTCACATTCTTTCTCTGTCTCCCCAGGTTCATCAGGACACACAGGCTGTTTGCCCCGATTCCAAAGATCAATGATAAATGGAGTGGTAACCACCAGGTCAGGGAAGCCCCTGGGGCGGGGCAGGGGTGAACCCAGAGGACAGGGTGGGCAGGGAGCGTGGGCTATGACCCCAAAGTCTCCTGGTCTTCACCCTGGGGTCCCCAGCATGCTCGTGGGGTGCGGCTGGAATCCCTATCCTGCTTTCCTGGGGTCTTCTCCATGAGCTCTGTCTCAGGAGTGGGTGGGG